GATCGCTGGTGAAGTTGAACTCTAAAAAATATTTATTAGCTATTAGTCTTTTGAAATAGAGTTTTATCCTTCTGAAGCTAAATATATGAAATATGTTAATAGAAAACATCCTAAAATATATTTCATATTTAAAATTGGTTTAATTAAGTTTTAGGTTGTGTGCCAGTGAGAAAAGTTTTTTCTGAGTTACTGCTTGGTGTAACTTTAAACATTTTTTCCTTGAATGGATTTTAGGCCAGAAAAGTCTAGTAGTAGCCAATGATTATTGGTCTTTTATGATGCCTTCAATTTTTCACTTTAAAATATAACATTCTAATAGCTAAGTCTTTATACTTAGAATGATTATTTCCTAAAGAGGTAAATTTCTGCAGACAAAATTGCTGAGTTAAGGAGACCGTAAACAATCAAGCATGCTGTTAAATTGCCCTTCCTAAGCGTAGCATTCCATGTACTGGTGGCTGTCCATATCTGCAGGTTTCACATCCATGAATCAACCAGCTGTGGATCAAATGTATATGGGACTTGTACATATAAGGGACTTGAGCATCCATGGACTTTGATATCTGGGGTGGCTCCTGGAACCAGTCCTTCATGAGTACTGAGGGACCACTGTACTCTGCCTTTTCCCCCTCTTAGTAGGGAGAAACTAATCATTTGCTACCAAAGGCCAGTCTTTTCGCCTGTGTACTGCATCCCATCCTGTCTTTTCTGTTTAAGGTCTTAGCTCCAGCGGTTGTCCCCTCCTATTAATTTTTCCTTTTCTAGATCTTCCCACACATCACAGCATATAAGCATGTTGTTATTTTCCCCATCTTAAAAAAGGAAACAGAGAAACTTTCCTAGCCCCACATTCACTTCTAGCTATTTCTTAGTACCCCTTCCTTTATTACAAAACCATGCCTCCCTTTTTTTTGCCTCCATTCTCTCTTGAACTATTCAAATGAGCTTTAATACCTACCACTGAAACTGCTCTTTTCAGAGTCACCAGTAATTGTCTTGTTGCGAAATCCAGGGGTTAGTTTCCTCACCTTACTTGACCTTGGAGCCATGTTTTGATACACATGACTGCTCTTGTCAGCACTCTTCTGTTTTTCCTCCTTTTTGCTCCTTTTTACTCCCCTTCACTGCTTTCTCGTCATTTCCCCAACCTCTAAATGTTGGACTGTTTCAGAGATCAGTCCTGAATCATCTTCTCTGTCTATACTAAGTAGTTTCATCCAGTTTTATGGCTTTAAATACTATCTATATGCTGCTCTTTCCCAAATATATACTTCCACCTGGAACACTAAACTCTGAACTCATAATCCAGCTGCCAAGGTGACACCTCCACTTGGATGTGTAATAAGCACCTCAGATATAATATGTACAATAATGAACTCCTAATCCCAGCACCCCACACCCCCTCACACAAAACAACTTTCCTTCCTTTAGTATTTGCCATTCCAAGAATGGTACCTCTAGCGTTCCAGTCATTTATGCTCAAAAACTTTGGAGTCATTGTTGAATTCTGTCTTGCATAATCCACATACGATCCATCAGCAAATATTTTTGCACCACCGTCACCTCCTAAATTTAAACCTGGAGATTTGCAAGGGTCTTCATGCTCCACCTCTTGACTCCTGTAGTTTATTTCTCCATAGAGCAGCCAGAGTGATCCTTTTGAACTGTAAGTCAAATCACTTCATTCCTCTGCTCACAACTTTCCAGTAGTTTCTTCCCTTCTGACCCGAAGTGAAAAACAAATTCCTTAGTTGATCTGGCCTCCAGTACCTCTCTGACCTCATGTCTTACTCCCTGCCCTGTTACTCACTGTGCTTCAGTAACACTGGCCATCTTGTTATCCCTTGAGCACACCGGGCACACCTGTGCATCTTTCTGTCCTCTCTACCAGGAGCACAGTCTCTCTCAGATATTTGCATGGCTAGTTCGCTCATCTTCTCTAAAACTCAGCTTAATACCACCTTAGTAATGAAGCCTCCACTGAATGTTCTGCCTAAAATAGTGATACCAGTTCCCCTTACGGGTGTGACCTCAAGCATCTGCTTATCATCTTGTATTCTCATTTTCTTCATTTGCTGAATGAACCTGTTAAATAGTACAGCAATACCTCATGGGGATATCATGAGGATTAAATGAGGTGATGTACGTGAAGTGTTTATATAGTTCCTTGGACCACCGTAGTTAGTATTTATTTTCTTCCTTGTCCTTATAAGGAACTTCCTTGTTATCAGTTTCTCCCTTTCTACTCTTGGATTTTTTAATTTATTTTTTGTTTTTAATTTTTTTGTGTGTATTCATTGCTTTTTTCTTTGTTTCCATAAATATATTTATTTACTTATTTTTACTTTCGGCTGTGTTGGGCCTTTGTTCCTGCACACAGGCGTTCTCTAGTTGTGGTGAGCGGGCGCTACTCTTTGTTGCGGTGCACAGCCTTCTCATTGCGCTGGCTTCTCTTGTTGCGGAGCACGGGCTCTAGGTGCGTGCGCTTCAGTCGTTGTGGCACACGGGCTCAGTGATTGTGGCTCGCGGGCTCTAGAGCACAGGCTCAGTAGTTGTGGTGCATGGGCTTAGTTGCTCTGCAGCGTGTGGGATCTTCCCAGAACAGAGATGGAATCCATGTCCCCTGCACTGGCAGGCAGATTTCTAACCACTGTGCCACCAGGGAAGTCCCTCTTGGATGTTTTTAAAACTTACTGATCTATTTCTGATCTTTCCAGTTTCTGTTATTGGTTCATTTTTGGTAAATTATATTTTGTTAAAATTTTCAGAATTTTATATTGTGATGTTCAGAGAATTTCTTTTAATATCTTTTAAATCTCTTTTCATCTCTAGTTATATTACCTTTTGCTTTTTGTTATCGTAACTTTTATTTTTTTGTCATTTTAAAATCATCCTTGCCAAAGCTTTATCAATTTTGTTAGTCATTAAGTGTTTGTTTTTCTTTGTTGATCCTCTGTTGTACCTTTGCCATCTACCTCATTAATTTCTGTTTTTATCTATGTTATTTTGTTTCTTCTACCTTCTTTGGGTTTGTGATGATCTTTTCTTACTCTTTTGTAAAATCAGCTTTATTGAGGTATCATTAGCAAGTAAAATTCTAAGATATTTAAAATGTACATTGTGGTGATTTGATACCATATTTTGATAATGTATACCTTGTGGAAGGATTTCCCCCGTGTTGTTAATTAACATATCCATCACCTCACATATTTATCTTTCTGTGTGTGTATGAGAACATTTAAGTTATACTCTCTTAACAAATTTCAGTTATACAATACAGTGTTATCAACTATAATCACCATGTTTTACACTGGATACTCAGACTTTATTAATCTTACAGCTGAAAGTTTGTACCCTTTTTACCAACCTCTCCCTATTCCTCCTCCTCGCCCCTGGGAACCATGTTCTAGTCTCTATTTCTATGAGTTTGACTTTTTTTTTTTTAAGATTCCACAAATAAGTGATACCTCCAGTATTTGTCTTTCTGTGTCTGGCTTATCTCACTTAGCATAATGCTCTCAGGATCCATCCATGTTGTTGCAAATGGCAAGATTTCTTAACCTCTCATGGCTGAACGGTATTCCACTGTGTATATGTATACACCACATCTTCTTTATCCATTCATTTATTGATAGACACTTAGCTCGTGTCCATATCTTGATTACTTGTGCTGCAGTAAGCATGGGAGTACAGGTATCTCTTCAAGATTCTGTTTTCATTTCCTTTTGATACATTCCTGAAGTGGGATTGCTGGATCATACGGTAGTTCTATTTTCAATATTTTGAGGAAACTCCATACTGTTTTCCATAATGACTGTATCAGTTGACACTCCCACAGCAATGCACAGGGGTTCCCTTTTCTCCACATCCTCACCAACACTTTTTTTTTGTTTGTTTGTTTTGCCATACATGGGCCTCTCCCTGTTGTGGCCTCTCCCGTTGCGGAGCACAGGCTCCGGACGCGCAGGCTCAGCGGCCATGGCTCACGGGCCCAGCCGCTCTGTGGCATGTGGGATCCTCCCGGACTGGGGCACGAACCCATGTCCCCTGCATCGGCAGGCAGACTCTCAACCACTGCGCCACCAGGGGAGCCCAACGCTTATCTTTTTGATGATAGTCATTATTTATTTATTTTTTAAGATGATAGCCATTATGACAGATGTGAGGTGATATCTTGTGATTTTGATTTGCATTTCCCTGATGATAAGTGATGTTGAGCACCTTTTTATGTACCTGTTGGCCATTCGTATGTCTTTTTTTTGAAAGATGTCTATTCTGTTCCTCTGATTATTTTTCAATCACGTTTGTTTTTTGTCTGTTGAGTTGTTTGAGTTCTCTATATATCTTGGATATTAACTCCTTATCAGATATATGATTTGCAGATATTTCCTCCCATTCAGTAGGTTGCCTTTTCATTTTGTTGCTGGTTTCCTTTGCTGTGCAGAAAGCTTTTAGTTTGATGTAGCCCCACTTCTTTATCTTGCTTTTGCTTTTTGTTTTTACTTTTTTTTTTTTTTGGTGTCAAATCCAAAAATCATTGTCAAGATTGATGTCAAGGACTTACTGCCTATGTTTTCTCCTAGGATTTTTACAGTTTCAGGTCTTACATTCAAGTCTTTAATCTATTTAGAATGATTTTTGTATATGGTATAAGATAGGGTTCCAGTTTCATTCTTTTGATCTACATGGGACAGTAAAAAGAACACAGCTAGACAGGTGTTCTCAACACATGTGGAGTTTCTGGTTCTCTTCTTTAGAAGTGTTTTCTCTCTCCTCAGGACATTCTCACAGTTTCGGTGTTAATGCCCTTAGGTCTGTAAACCTCACTTGAACTTCTGTAGCGTCTCTAGGCTTGATGATAATATCATTATTACTGTATAGTCAGTGATGAATATTTTGGAGTAGCTTACCAGTAGCTTACAAATACAGAAGTGTTTCTAAAAAATCAAAGTGGAACATATTATGAATTTTGTTTCTTTAAAAATTTTTAATCTTCTCAGTTCTGACAGCATCAGCAGTGATGAGGAAGAGCTGAGGACTTTGGGAAGCAGTGGTAGTGAAAGCAGCACTCCCGAGAATGTTGGGCCTCCTTTCATCATGGATGAGAATACTTGGTTCAACAAGTGTAAGAGAGTTAAACAAAAGTATCAACTAACGCTGGAACAGAAGGTATTTATAAGTTGTCAGAAGTCATTGAATTTGGTTCTAGTACTACCTTTAGACTGTCACTACCAAAAGATCTTTTAGCTGTATAGAAGTATTTACCTGTTACTACTTCCTTTCTGTTCTTGGATTGTCCTCCTTTTAATTAAAAATCAGGGCCTGGGCTTCCCTGGTGGCGCAGTGGTTGAGAGTCCGCCTGCCGATGCAGGGGACGCGGGTTCGTGCCCCGGTGCGGGAAGATCCCACATGCCGCGGAGCGGCTGGGCCTGTGAGCCATGGCCACTGGGCCTGCGCGTCCGGAGCCTGTGCTCCGCAACGGGAGAGGCCACAATGGTGAGAGGCCCGCGTACCGCAAAAAACAAACAAACAAACAAAAAATCAGGGCCAGTTTTAGGAGAGGCTTTTGTTTCTTAAATAATTTTATGTTTTAATATATATAATAAGTCATTTATTCTTCTGTATGCAGTTTCATTTGTCTAAGGTATTAGTTTCTATGGTTAATTTTATAAAGGATTATTTGGTTTATGAAAATGCAGTGATTGCCTAAGAAATTCCGTGTATGTGTCTCACTCATTTTTTTTTAAAATCAGGTATTTTAGCAGCTCTTGTATGTTAAGTGCTGTAGTAGGCAAAGTGGGGTATATAACAGAATGGAATATAAACTCTTATCATCTTGAGTTGTAACCTCTTTTTCACTGTATGATTTATTTTCCTTCCTACCCTTCCTTTCAAATTATCATTATTCATAGATGACCTGTGTGGGGAGAGCCCAATGGAATTATCCATAGAATTATTAGAACAATAAAAAATACACTGAAGAGAATGGTTTCAAAGGAAATTTACAAATATGAAGAGATTTTTCTGTAGGCAAACAGCTGCTGGTTAGAAATATAAAGAAAACTTTAATACCCTGTTAAAGGAGAATTCTGGTACCAGCTACCAGCAGAAGTCACACTAAGATAACTGAAAGCCTTTACATTGTAAAAATCTGAAAATGCCAAGTAGGATAAAATTTTGAAAGAGTTTCATACAGAGCTGCTCTCTCAAAGAATAGGAGCTCACTAAGGACTGTAAACAAAGAAGGGCCTAAAAAATAGGAGCTCACTAAGGACTGTAAACAAAGAAGGGCCTCACTAAGGACTGTAAACAAAGAAGGGCCTGGAATAAGTCATGAGTTAAAGTCACTGCAAGCTTCTGGAGTTGGGGTGAGGGGCCATTCCCTTAACCTAGGTACTTGTGTTTTAATACCAACCAGGGAGCAGCAAATCTAGGCCCGCTATCATTCAAGTTGGAAACTGAACCTAGAAGCCAGGATGTGATGCAAAATGGCAGAGTAAGCACAGAAATTGGCAAATAAACCTTGACTACATGAAACAGCAACAGCAATATTAGTAACCATTATGGGGTGGCAGTGTTGTTCTGGGATATGATTAACAACTGGCTTTGCAGAGGAATTAGATAAGCCCTGATTTGTAGCATTTGCTGATTTCTCTGGAATGAATACTCCCATCATGGCCAACTTAAAACTACCAATTTGATGTCACTGAATGTAGAATCAGGAAGAGAGGCACAGTAGCACACCATTATATAGTTTTTCTACCAGGCAGACACAGTAAATATAAATGACTTGAAGAGCACAGATAGTAATAGTAAAATATAGTAAAACACTTGGGAAACGATAGATTTTGTAGTTATTCTCGTTTGTTTTTTTTAAGAAGTATCAGATGTATCTTTTTTTTTAATTTATTTATTTATTTATGGCTGTGTTGGGTCTTCGTTTCTGTGCGAGGACTTTCTCTAGTTCTGGCAAGCGGGGGCCGCTCTTCATCGCGGTGCGCAGGCCTCTCACTATCGCTGCCTCTCTTGTTCTCTGCGGAGCACAGGCTCCAGACGCGCAGGCTCAGTAATTGTGGCTCACGGGCCCAGTTGCTCTGCGACATGTGGGATCTTCCCAGACCAGGGCTCGAACCCGTGTCCCCTGCATTGGCAGGCAGATTCTCAACCACTGTGCCACCAGGGAAGCCCCTATTCTCTTGTTTTTTAATATAATTTACTTAATGGTAAGTTCATAATTTAATTTTTTATAATAACAATGTTTTAACAGCTTAATTACAAAATATCTGAAGCTCAACAGTTAGTTCTGGCTTCAGCCTACCCTGGGAAGTAAAATGGAACTAAAGCACTATCTAATAGTATCAGAAAGAGTGAGAGAGGGTGATTGAAGCTAAAGCCTTTTGAGGTCTTTGTATTACAGCAAAGGAGTGTAGACACATTTTTTAATGTGTATGCCTGTTTCCAAAGTTGCAGTTAAAAGAAATAGAATATTTAGCTTTTAAACTAATAATAAGAAAGAAAAGAAGTAGGGAAAATTGATTAACACAATAGCAAAGAGCAAATGAGAAAAAATAAGGATGGTATAAAGAAAACACAAACTAAAGTGGTAGAAATAAATCTCAATATAACCAAAAGAGTCAACATCACCATAAAAGTAAATGGTGTAAACTTGCCAGTTAAGACAAACTCTTGGGAATTCCCTGGCGGTCCAGTGGTTAGGACTCTGTGCTCTCACTGCCAAGGGCCTGGGTTCAACCCCTGGTTAGGGAACTAAGATCCACAAGCCTCATGGTGAGGCCAAAAAAATAATAATAATAATTTTAAAATTAAGAGATAAAAACTCTTAAATTTATGTTTTAAATCATTAATTTTAGTTATATGTGACTATAAGAGGCATACATAAAATAGTGACACAAAAAAGTTGAAACTAGGAGTATAAAAATAGAGTAGGCAAATACTAACCAAAATAATTCTGTATCAGTATCATTCAAGATAGACATTAAGGCAAAAAGCATTATTAAGACTAAAGAAAGAATTGCCTTTTTAAAAAAGAACAATTCACCAGGAGTGTTGTATAACAGTGCTGAATTTACATGCATTTAACAATGTAGCCATGAAAAATATGAAATAGAAATTATTAGAATATCCATGAGAAATGGATAAATCCATAATTATAGTAGAAAATTTTAACATCCTAATAATTACAGATTAAACAGACAGAAAAATTGGTAAGGATGTAATAAACTTGAACAACACAGCTAGTAAGCTCAATCTAAAATGTGTTAAATGCTAACAATAAGAACAAACATTCTTTTCAAGCACACATGGGACAACTATTCAATTTTTATGGACTGTGCTAGATCACAAAACAAATGCCCATAAATGCCAAAGAAATGATATAATAGTGATCACAATGCAATAAAGTTAGATTCAATAGAAAAATTTTACCACCACCTCCAATGGGGATTTTAAAAAAATAAAGTCTTCTAAATTTTGGGTCAAAAAAGAAATGTGGAAATACTTAGAAATGAACAGGAATGAAAACAATGCATACTCTTAGTACTAAGTTGCAACTTGTTCAGTGCTTGGAGAATTACTTATCTTAGAAAAGAAAGAATGAAAATTAAAGAGCTAAGTATCCAAGAAGTAAAAAGAACAAACCAGTTGAAAATAAGAAAAATAAGAGCAGATATTAATGAAATAGAGATACAGAATTAATAAAACCAAAAGCTGATTATCTGTAAAAACTAATGAAATATACAAATCTCAGCCATAATTAAATTTAAAAGAGTTAAGGCACAGATAGACAATTTTAAGAATTAAAAGAGAATAGACAGGGACTTCCCTGGTGATCCAGTGGTTGAGAATCCGCCTTCCAATGCAGGGGACACGGGTTCAATCCCTGGTTGGGGAACTAAGATCCCACATGCCATGCTGCAGGGCGTCTGAACCTGTGCGCCACAGCTAGAGCGCCTGTGTGCTGCAACTACAGAGCCCACATGCACTGGAGCTCGCACACCACAACTACAGAGCCCACACTCTCCAGAGCCCGCGTGCCACAACTACAGAGCCTGTGCACCCTGGAGTCCGCGCACCACAACAAAGAGCCTGCGATCCGCAATGAAAGATCCCATGTGCCACAGCTAAGACCCAATGCAGCCAAAATTAAATAAATAAATATAAAAAAAAAAAGAATAGGCAGCATAACTGTAAATGCAGTGGAGACCCCCCATAATTATTAACGAATAATTTTATCAATTTTATGTCAATACCTTAGAAAACTTAGATGAAGAATTTTTATAAATATTACTTCTCAAAACTAATAGACCTATAATCACTGAAAAAATTAAGCACGTAGTTTAAAATCTATTCCCTCCTCTCCCCAGAATCACCACACTTGTTTGGTTTTTGAGGTAGCTGATACCAAATGTTCAAAAGGCAGTAATTCCTATTTTATACTGACTGTTCTTGAGAATAGGAAAAGAAGGGATATTTTCCAATGAGTTTAGGAAGTCAGTATAACTTTGATACTCATGTAAAGTCACGTGAATTAATACAGGATGTGATTAATATAAAAACCATAGTACAAACCATTTGGTGTTATCTAGTAAATGTGGAGATATGTGTGGCCTGTGGCCCAGCAACTCTGCTCCTAGTCATGTCTCCTAGAAACTCTCAGATGTGTGTCCCAGGTATCTCATAACTGACTGTTCACAGGAATATTGTTTATATTAAGAAAAATCTAAAATGATCCATATTGCCATTGATAGGAGAGTGAATAAATAAGCTGCAGTATTCATGCAACAGAATACTATCCACTATTGAGAGTGATGAATGAACTATAGTTAGACTCATCACTGTAGATGAAAAAGCAGGTTTCAAAAGAATATAGATAAAACCCATCCAAACTAAATATATTGTTTAAGATGACATACATTTGTGGTAATGCTAGAAGGAAAAGCGAGGGGATGATAAACACAAATCTCAGGGTATTGTTATCTTTGCAAAGGAGGCAGGGGATGTGATCAGGAAAAGCCGTTATAGGGGCTCTGAAAGTATTGGTAGTTGATCTAGGTGCTGGGTATTTAAGTATTGTTTAATTACTGATGTTTATAAATAATCATATTTATATAGTTTCTCTTAAGCTGTGTATACCTACAAAATTTCATTTGTAAAAATTAACTTTAGTTTTTGAGATTTTTATTATGGAAAAAACAAATATTTGAGAATTGTCAGGAAAAAAATCTGAAAAAGAAGTTCAATAACAGGAACAGTGTTAGTTACGATTAACATGTATCATGAAGCCAAAATAGCTAAAGCAGTTTGTTAATGGCACATGAAAAGGATAAGAAATGGAATAGAAGAATACTTTAAGAAAAAAAGATTCTAATTAATATCCTGAGAGGAATTTTAAAGCACACTGATCTAAAAAGAATAGGATGCCATGAGAAGGGAACAGTCAGAAAACACACAAAAAAAATTGGAAGTGAAAAATAAGATTCCCTGAGTTCAAAAATTTAGTGTAAGGATTTGGAGGATAAATTCAATGAAGACTCCCAGAAAGCAGAGCAAAAGGACAAAGAAACAATAAATGGGTGAAAAGATAAGAGAGGATCTGTTCAAAGTCTCATATCTATTAGGTGTCTGCTGATAATAATAGCTAGGAATTATACATTGCATACAGGGTACCAGCTAGTATTCTAAGCACTGTATTAATTCATTTGATCTTCCCAGCTAGGTACCCTTTTTGTTCCCACTTTTTTAGATGATGAAAATAAGGCACAGAGAGATTAAGTAATTTACCCAAGGACACTTAGTTTATAAGTAGTAGAACTGAATATGACACGATATAATCCCTAAGCCTGCAGGCCTAACCTAGACATTATACTGCTTCCCGCTAATTTGTTAATGCTAAAATGTTAATAACTGTTTTTGAACAATAATCACAGGGAGGCAGCTTTATAATTGATCATTCTGTAATTAGGTCTGTATTTTGAAGCTAGGAGGCATTGAGAGTGTTTATCACTGTTGTGGAGCTTAGAAATTATAATGTTTTAACTAAGTTTTACCTTAAATTACAAACATATTTTATTGAACTTTAAAGAAGAGCTTTAAATAATGGAAAACATATATTAAATTTTTAATTCAATTAAAGCTTTTTTTTTCTATTTCTTCAGTGATACTTTGAAATTGTTTCATTACAATATAGATAAGAATAACATTTAAGCTACTCAGCATTTGTCTTCAAGACACATATTAGAATTTTGCACTTGCTGTATCTTGGTGATCTGTATTTCCAGGGTTATCTTGAAGAACTCTTACGACTTCGAGAGAACCAGCTGTCTGAATCTGTCACTCAGAATAAAATACTACTACAGAGGATTGAAGATTCTGATCTGGCTCATAAATTGGAGAAGGAACAATTAGAATATATAATTGTGGAGCTTCAAGATCAGCTGTAAGTGAGTCCTTTTGGAAAAATTTTGGCAGTAAAGTTAAGAAAAATGGCATGTGTGGCATAGGATTCAAGTTCCAAGAAGTCTGATTGCCTTCTGTTTAGTTCTTTTTCACTTACTCTTTTTAAAAAGTTTACTTTTTTCTTATAAAAGTAATCATGGTCACTGTAGAAACTTTACAAAATATGGGAAGAAAATAAAAATCACCTTCAGTTTTGCTATCCACAGTTAATGCAATAACTTGTGCTATCCACAGTTAACGCAATAACTTGGTGTGTATTATTCCAAATGCACATGCATAATTTTAAAGTATTTATTTAGTGATTGATTGATTGATTGCAAAAAGATGGCATATAAGGTCATCTATTCGAGGTACACTGTACTATTTAAATACAGTGCCATTATAGAAACTGTTTGTTACCAGGTTGTGCCAGGATGTCACTAAGCACAGTTTAGTAGAGCTGACTTTTTTTCATAGCAGGGCTTTTCTCGATGAAGAAAACTGTGTATTGATCTACATTCTGGTACAGCTCCTTAACGTATCACTGTTCAAATCACTTGCACTAACCATACCATTTTGTCAAACTTAATTTAATCAATTAGTTGTTTATGGTAAAAATCTTCTCATATTTATTTAATCTTAAGGATGACTTTTAAATTTTTTACTTTGAAATAATTTCAAACTTTCAGAAAAGTTGCAAGGATAGTACAAAATAATTCCCACATGCCCCTTCTTAGATTCACTAATTTTCAGCATTTTCCACGTCATAATTCTCTCTCTCTGCTTGTATATACAGACGTTATTTTTTGAACTACCTGAGAGGTTGCATACATCATATCTCTTTACCCCTTAGTACTTCAGTGTGTTTTTCCTAAGAACAATGACATTATCTTAAATACCCACACTTCGGCTCTCATTTTAAGAAATTTAAATCAGTAAAATACTTCTTTTACCTGTAACTCATATTTCACTTTCATTCAATTGTCCAAGTAATGTTTCTTATTGCTTTTGGTTTTTTGGTACAGGATCCAATCCAGGATCACATTTTGCATTTGGCTGTCATTCTCTTTAGTCACTTTTAACTTAGGATAGTTTTTCAGTGATTGTCTCACATGAGATTGATATTTCTGAGAATGCAGGCTAGTAATTTTATAGACTATCCGTCAATTTGAGTTTGTTTGCTTTTCCTTGTGATTAGAATAAGCTTATCCATTTGTGGCTGGAATACAGCGTAAGCAGCGTGTCCTCGGGATATCACATGCAGAGGTCAATGAAGTCTGTTGGCCTTTTATTAGTGATGTTAATTTTAGTCATTTGATTAAGGTGTTTTTCTCTTCTGTATAGTTACTGTTGTTCCTTTTGTAATTAACAAGTAATTTGCAAGGAGATACTTTGAGACTAAAAGCATAAAAATGATTTTTTTAAGTAAAAAAGTTTTATTAAGGAGCATAAAAATTAAATGTTTTCTGGGAATTTGTATCTTGATAAAAAGAATTATGTTCACATATTGTTTCTTACTTTTTTTCTAATTTTTTAAACGTATTTTTAATTTAATTTTATTTTTTGGCTGCATTGGGCCTTTGTGGCTGCATGTGGGCTTTCTCTATTTACGGCGAGCGGGGGCTGCTCTTCGTTGCGGTGCATGGGCTTCTCATCGCGGTGGCTTCTCTTGTTGCAGAGCACGGGCTCTAGGCACGCAGGCTCAGTAGTTGTGGACCGGGGCTCTAGAGCACAGGCTCAGCAGTTGTGGCACACGGGCTTAGTTGCTCTGCAGCATGTGGGATCTTCCTGGACCAGGGATGGAACCCGTGTTCCCTGCATTGGCAGGCAGATTCTTAACCACTGCACCACCAGGGAAGTTCCATTTTTTCTAATATTTTAAAGAGAGTGTGTCGTGTGGGGTATCAGTCACTGAGGGGCAGATTAATACCTCCCGTAGCCCCTCACTACTATAAGCAGAGAGAAGAATATTATGAAGCAAACAGTAGAGATTTCTGGTTATTTCTTTACAATTAAAAGATTAAGAAAATAATTTTTCTTTTGCAAATAATACTGGTAGTTTGTCTAAATGCTTTTAACTTATAAATAATTATGTAATTGGTTTTTATTTCATCACAGAGATATTTTCATTTGAAGAATTAGATTTGACTGTATCACATTTATTTTGCTTCTGATAATTTAAAGGAAACAGTCTCAAACTTTTTAGCTTGAAAAAGAATCTACGAGTTACGGTTTTATCTTACTTTTGTGATAGAAGTGTCGTTGATCTTCCTGATTTTGCAAAGAAACCTTAGAGTTATTTTTAATCTCTTTAAGTTACTAGAGCAAAAAATAAAAAATTAAGGCCACTGATGAAAATTAGACTATTGAGTTTAGAGGTTAAAGATTTATTTTCACATACCATGGCTACAATCTCTGGCTAGGTTGTAAATTGGTGTCTTACAAGGTTCCTTTGTACAAAAACCATTACAAGAATACTTAATGGAAGAGTAAGATACATGGCTTCCAGAATGTTTACGATTTACTTCCTTATCAGAATCATATTTAAGGTGCAGATAATCTCTGGGCACCTTGAAACTGTAGGGAGAGAGTGGACATTTTTTCCTTCTGATATTTTTTTTACCAACAGTTAGGAAGGCCTGCAGTCAAAGTTGGGCACTGAAATTCCCTTTGTTAATCCAGAGGAGATAAAAGTCGCCTTGAGAAGATTAAAATGTATAATGTATAAAGAAAAAGGTCAGAAAAGGAGCATTAAATAGAATATGAAGGATGAAGTATTTGCTTCTACATTATGTTGATTCGCTTTTCCTGGGTGATTTAAATAATTTGTCACTTAACTTTTTATAAATTTCTCAACGGTTATCTGTGTTTTTGAATTACTGTTAAAGTATGCTTTAATAATGTCTTGGAATACTCATAAAATCTGAACATCTGTAGTTTTGGCAAATAGAGTGCACAGTGTGATATGGTAGAGGAGTATCCCAAAGCTTTCTTGCAAATCAGGACTGTGTTCAGGTACTGGCTCTGTCCTTGCCTAATATGAGCTCAATCTTGATTAATATCTTGGAGCCTCTGTTTCCTTATTTGTAAAACTGAGATAATATTCACCTTGTGGATTATTATGAGTATTAAGTGGTATCATGTTTAGTACAGGTAGGACAAAGAAAGTAGTCAAGATTATTAGCCTGTTTTGGCTTACAGAAACCTTAAGATCTTCTTGATAAATTCACTCGGATAAATAGTGAGTGTAAAATGCTTTACCTGGGCTTCCCTGGTGGCGCAGTGGTTGAGAGTCCGCCTGCCGATGCAAAGGACGCGGGTTCGTGCCCCGGTCCGGGAAGATCCCACATGCCGTGCAGCGGCTGGGCCCATGAGCCATGGCCGCTGAGCCTGCGCCTCCGGAGCCTGTGCTCCGCAACGGGAGAGGCCACGACAGTGAGAGGCCCGCGTACCACAAAAAAAAAAATGCTTTACCTTATCATGCCCAGACAATGAATTTGGACTTGATTGTATTATTCCTGAGTATCACTTTTGAGATCTAGTTTCTAAATGGTAGTTGGATTAATATTTATAATAATATTATGGATCTGTGATAGACCTTCAGATAGATGTCCTACTGTACAGAAGATTCTTTGTAAAACACTGATTGCAGACCTCAAGAATAGACAGCTTCAGAACAGTATGCAAAAGCTAAATTCTTGGTCACGATTAATACCAATAAAATGTGTAATAGGGAGTCTTTTATATTTAGTTGATGAAATTTTTCTGTTCATTATTTGAAGAATAGGAATAGTAAAATGTCTTACAGGGCTCCCTAGAGAAGGGACTGAAGAGTCTAAAAATAGAGTGAAGAATCATGCATTGCTAAAACTAAGCCACTGTTATAAGTTCAACAGCCAACTTGGTGTAGTTCGCAGTGAGTAGTGTTGGTTTGATCTGTTGGCCTGCAAACCAGAAGTCAATGATGCTATGGCATCCTGGTTCACAAATTTTCGGATGAGTGGTATGGATTCTAACAGGAGAATGCAGTGATGTCATCATAGCCCAGTTAATAATGGACAGATCATGACAGTTGCTGGTCGTATCTATTTTTAGCAGGTAACAGTTATTAAAATATTAAATTACAATCATGCTAATATATATTACATACTCTATTATCCATATAAGAACAGAGAAGTCAAGAAAATGCATCCAGAAGAGAAAAGGCCAGGTACCAGATAGGTAGAACCATTTCTATTGTATTTTCTTGGTGTTAGTAAGAAATTATATATTACAACAGGAAAGGGGTACTTATTTGATCTGAATGGCATTTCATTGCCTTTATAGTCCTTTTGTTAGATTAAAACTGCTGGCAGATTCTCTTATATCTGAGCAGATGTCCTTATATCTGGGCCAGGGGCCTACAACAGTTGGAACTGCCCTACAAATTTCATGGAGAAGTGACTCATTTTATTTGGCAAATGTTTTACATTGAGTACATGAAAAAGAGAAGCATCCCTAAATTACAGTTTATAAATAAGACAATATCACTATTAACATATAAATATTGTTTTGTTTAGTTATTTCTGTTCTTTAGCATTTAACACTTATAAAATTATAATTAGCATTTAAATTCTGAAGCTATCATTATATTTTTTATTTTTTATTAAAAAATTTTCAAGGGGGGCTTCCCTGGTGGCACAGTGGTTAAGAGTCCACCTGCCGATGCAGGGGACACGGGTTCGTGCCCCGGTCCCGGTCTGGGAAGATCCCACATGCCATGGAGCAGCTGGGCCCGTGAGCCATGGTCGCTGAGCCTGTGCGTCCGGAGCCTGTGCTCCACAACGGGAGAGGCCACAACAGTGAGAGGCCCGCGTACCGCAAAAAAAAAAAAAGAAATTTTCAAGGGACTTCCCTGGTGGCACAGTGGTTAAGAATCCACCTGCCAATGCAGGGGACATGGGTTCGAGCCCTGGTCCGGGAAGATCCCACATTCAGCGGAGCAGCTAAGCCCCTGCACCA